GCTCGGGAGTCGATTACGGATCGGGGAAGGTATTAACACCCCGTCCGCCCGTATTAAAACGGTACCCTCGTTAATAACATGGACTTTTATACCCTTAAAATTACTTATTGTGAACACCCAATTTCGTCCGGCTTATTCTTGCCAAGTAAAACAATACAAAGAATTCAAGAACAAAAAAGGTAACAAAAAAAGTAGCTATCAAGGTGGAAATGGGATTGATAACGTGGCCTGTGCCACAATTGCCACCAAGTAATATACACTCCTATGGTCATCATTAGTTCTACCTCAATACACTTTCTTCATATCAACATGTTCTACATAAGGTTCAGATACTTCAAAACATTAGGTAAAGATTTGGAGAAATTTTAGAGAGAGGTAATGATTTTAAAGTTTATGAGAAGCTAAGACTATGTTACCTTGAGGAAGTTTGTTATAAAGAGGATGTTCAAATGTCACGACAACGGACATTACTCATTTTACCATCAATAATTATGTATATGATTTTCAGTAAAAATTATTTTTGTGAACTTTGACTTGTTAGTATCTACTAACTTGGTTTGATGGTTTACTCACTTTCTAGTCTCTAGTTATGGGTTCAACCCAAGTCTAACTTTTTAGCATCCTTTCAAAAGTTAAACGGAGTGGAGGTGGCATTGATCAGTGTGCATATGAACCCACTAACCACCAATTTCAACCAAAGTATCACCCTTGTTAAGTACATTGACTTTTGAGGCTTGATCATATATGCTTAATCCATGCAAATAGACACACATGTGCCAAAAAAATACACAACTAAACATTTATTGACTAATATTTGACAATTAAAGGCCCTCTAAAGTGAGACTCAGAAATGAAATCTCAGTTGATTCATTTTCAGACATTGCACATAAATTGCTCTCCCATCTTCATATCATGCTTTTTTGTCTCATTAAAATTTTACACCTTTGGAGTTTCAACAATGCAGCACCCTTCAAGTTCAAGACTATGTCAAATTAGGCACACTTATACCTTATGGATTTTGATAGAAACTTTACACTTTTTTTTTTAAGAAAAAAAATTATTTCATGATGTCACGAGGTGTTGATACACACCTACCCATACAAACTTATATACCCACATGCATTTCCATCTTAATTATCTCATTCTCAAACTTCAATCAAATACACATCTTTAGTAATAATGAGATCAACAAGAGCATGAAGACAATTTCTTCATCTCACTGATTTCCAATTCAGGACCTGAGATTATATCAATCTTTGATCCTTTGAGTGTAGCAACATTATTGTCACCATTCCCTACCCCAATACCACATTCCAATGCCTTTTTAGATACCACCCTATTGATCTCTTCTAGCAACTTGAGAAACGCATTCTCCACAGTATCACCACTTAGAGCTGAAGTCTCTGAGAAAAACAAGCCCTGCAATTGATAACAGCTGCAGGATATTAGTGACATTGAAAAGATTCAATTGTATGGAAAAGCAAAAGGCCCATAGTGATTAACCCATCAGCCTTAACTTCATAAGCTGTCACAATTGCACAATAATAGCCAAAAATACTATAAGTGATTGACAATAATCAGAAACAGTAAATAATAAGATATCAAGAGCCATCAGGGAATTAATCATAGGAAGGAAGATATTCAGCCTTAAGGCATCAGTGAGTAGAAATGATGAAATGCAAATAAATTTCAGTTACATAACCAAAGGAAAATCTTAATGATCAACTTTAAATGGAGCAATCAGAACAATGGAATAAAAAGGAAAAGAGTAGAAGCATTCCAGCAGTCAGCCACAAACAAGTTTTCAAGAGACAAATCAGTTATGCTTTAGGCATAATAAGCATTAACAGTGCTAGTTATGGGCAGTTTTGAGAGAGTAATCAGCAAGCCAAAAGTCTGGCATATTTCTGGCAATCAATGAGCAATTGAAAGGGTTTTCACAGCTCTATAAAAAGCTACTGACTACACACAATAGAGATTATTCTAAAAAAAACATAGCTTCCAGAGAACTCTCCTTTTCCTTATCCATCAAAACATCATATTACAGTAACAAAATCACAGTCCCTACACCCATACCCATTTTTTATTCCAATCCTGATACTCTCACCTCATTAGACAAAACTTTTGGCAACCAAACATACCCATACTCACATCGTATGCACCAAGCAGCAGACAAAGAGAATCCAGATAGGGGGAAGTCACACAAAAGCAAGTAGAACGGAAGCATAAACGTTCTAAGTCACGCATTCGGTCATCAACAGGTATAGTTTTCCTTGTCTAAACACAACAATTCCTATTACATTGTCCATAACATAAACATAAACTAAAAAGTTAATCAAGAAAGAGCCAATGAGTGAAATTTAGATCATAAAGAACATATCTTGCTTGTTTTGGGTTGTTAGTCTATGTTCCAAACCCACATACTCAATTTATATCACAGAAACACAGACTTTCATTTATTCAACTCCAACAAAAGTGTATACATTTCTAGTCAATTAAGAACAGCAAGTAAGAACGCCTCGGGGTGGTCATAAAGCGATTCTGGGTTGGTTTCTGAGTAGATTAATATTCAAACCATTTCATAATCAAATAAGCAGTTGAATCGTAGTGTTAAGGCTGATTAAAAATCCCTAAAAGGGGGAATTTCGAATCCCTCAGTAAGAGAGGGAAAAGAGAGTGCTCCATAACACTCGAACCACCACATCCAATGGTGGTTCTGGCGGACAGTCTTGGCGGATTCCTACCACCGTCGCGGTGCAAAGAATGAAGAGGAAAGAAAAGATGACGAGGGGTAAGTTTTTACCTTTCATGACCTAAACCGGAGTAACAACCGAGAGTAGGAGTTGGAGCAGACGAGAAGCTCCTCATTAGCCCGCCGCCGGAACGAAAACACCGCCGCCGTCTTCGGAGGAGAAAACCGTGAATCCTTTCTTCGTCTTCGTCTTCTCTTTTCTCTCGTCTTCTCACTTCTCTTCTCTCATGCCATCCAAGTCCCAGAAGCCAAAATGAAGGGAGTAAACCTAACCCCTCTCCCCTTCAATCCAGTTTTCTGTTTGGGCCCAAACCGAATAACCCACCTTTATTGTGATTTTAATTCATTTTTTTTTTTTGTTCCTTTTATTATATACATGACACTTAAATTATTATTTACTTATTTTCATTTATAGTAGTAGTAGTGCAATCAAATAATCATGTAATCTTCCTCTAATAATTATATGTTATTAGACAAATAGTTTTATCAATAATATATTTTTTAAAAATATTTCAAATCTCTTTAAGATATGATGCGGCGCGGGCATTAGTCTTGCTACTTCATCTATCTTAAAGGTGAATAATTTCAATAATATATTTTAAAACTATTTCAAATCTCTTTAAGATATGATGTGGCGCGGGCATTAGTCTTGCTACTTCATCTATCTTAAAGGTGAATAATTTCAATAATATATTTTTTTAAAATATTTCAAATCTCTTTAAGATATGATGCGGCGCGGGCATTAGTCTTGCTACTTCATCTATCTTAAAGGTGAATAATTTCAATAATATATTTTTAAACTATTTCAAATCTCTTTAAGATGTGATGCGGCGCGGGCATTAGTCTTGCTACTTCATCTATCTTAAAGGTGAATAATTTCAATAATATATTTTAAAACTATTTCAAATCTCTTTAAGATATGATGCGGCGCGGGCATTAGTCTTGCTACTTCATCTATCTTAAAGGTGAATAATTTCAATAATATATTTTTAAACTATTTCAAATCTCTTTAAGATGATGCGGCGCGGGCATTAGTCTTGCTACTTCATCTATCTTAAAGGTGAGTAATTTCAATAATATATTTTAAAACTATTTCAAATCTCTTTAAGATATGATGCGGCGCGGGCATTAGTCTTGCTACTTCATCTATCCTAAAAATAAATAATTCCGAACAATGCATCTCAATTATTTCAAAAAATAATATATATCTTAAAGATAAATAAATCTTAACATAATAGTTTAATTAATTTCAAAATCTCTTTAAGATTTGATATGGTGCGGACATTAGTTTCTGCTGCTTCATCTTTTCTTAAAGAGAATATAATTTATATCAACTTTTCAAACAAACTAAACCAACACCAAGTAATTTTCAAAACCAGAACTACGTAGCCTTGATTTCCCTTTTGCACCTAGGGATACGTAGGAGCAAGACGAACTCTTGTCAGGCACAACAATAAAAAATAAAAATATTTCGCTTTAAGGAATTCAATTTTAATAGATTATTTTAAGGGTATAAAAGTCCATGTTATTAGCAAGGGTACCGTTTTAATACGGGCGGACGGGGTGGTAGCACCTTCCCCGATTCGTAATCGACTCCCGAGCTCAGAATCTCTGTTAAATGACCAAATTATCCTAATCGGGCGTAATTCAGAGTTTTCTACGTTTTAACCGCAAAAATCGTAGTGGCGACTCCAAATCAATTGGAAGAGGTAGAAATCGAGTTTGTCTCTCCCTAAGTCGCAGGGCCGGTCTTCCAACCGAAAATCGGGTCCCGACACTTATTAAAATTCAGGAAATAAAAACAAAATGTTTTATTTTTTATTGTTGTGTTTGACAAAAGTTTGTCTTGCTCCTACGTATCCTTAGGTACAATAGGGAAATCAAAGCTACGTAGTTCTGGTTCGAAAATTAATTAAATTGGTTTGGGTAGTTTAAGATGTGTTGAAGTTGTTACGTCGTATAATATGATTTTTCTAAAATACTTTGATAAGAAAGTAATAGTTTAGAGTTGGTGTTGGTCGCTCACCTTCTTCCAATTTTAATAGAAATCAGAGTCAACTCGAACCGTAATCTTATTATAAAATTTCCATTAAAATTTGTTTAAGTAAAAAGGTGATTTTTATTTACTAAGAACATATGGGACATAATAACTAAAGATCATTTTAAAATAAACAAACAATACTTGAAATATCAAAGTAAATAAAAATTGAAAAAAAAGAATAAAATAGAATTAAACAAAGGAGGGAATTAGGGAAAGAGGAGTAACCTCCCTCATTTCACGTGGCCAACAAAGAAGAAGGGATTAAATCCCTAATTCATTCTCCTCCCTCGACAGCAGCCATGGAGGAAATTAATCAAGCTGGAGCGGCGAGGGGAACTCAGTGGTGAGCACCAGGGGTCTTCTTCTCCAGCGACGGCGGTGGCGAAGTCAAACCGTCGGAATCAAGCTCCCACCAAAGGAGGAGTTAGACACGTCACTTCGTCGTGGGCGATTCGTGAGGGCTATTCGATGTGGCCTCCTACCCGAAGCATCCTTGACTCGTGCAGGTAAATAATGCAGCAATGACCGATTTCAACCGGCTAGAACCACCTACCCTGATGGTGGTTCGAAGGGTATGTTACAACTCACTTTCCCTTTATCTCTAACCTCTTGGTTTCTTGGTGGCAGATTCTCCTTCTCCAGCGGTGGCCAAAAGGTTAATTGTGGGTCGACCTCGTACCTAGATTCCATTCTCGGTTGAGAAGGAAACGACTTGGGGCTTTGATGCTTGAGACCAATGAGAACTAAGCAGATTCGGTAATTAAACTATACCCCCTTTATGTTTTTACATTGGTCCGTTACTGATAGCACGTTTGTGTATGACCTTGTTGTTGTTATCTCCTTGCTGAATGTGTTGTGCTTTGCGATGATGTCTTACTAAGGGTGTTGTCTGAGTGATCATGTGTGTATGGGTTATGGTTATTTGATTGGGGATGGCTTGTGTTTATCAGTAGCTTGTGGATACGTCCCTTGTGTCTATATGTGTATTGCTTTCTTTTTTTGGTTGTTGATGTGTATGTGTGTGGTATGTGATATGTGTGTATTGTTTCTGAGTGTTGATAGGATAAAGAGAGGAAGCTAGATACAATAGGGTTGGTTGAGAAACTTGGAGTATAGAGGTGTTATAGTACTGGAATTTTGAGAAGAGGATTGATCCCTCTGGTTATTATGTGATATACATATTTAATATGCCATGACTGTATGTGTTGTGTATGACATTTGGGTTATCTCCTCCTCTTATTTTGACTACTTTCTGTTTTAGTACGTATGCATGATACCAAGGTAGATAGTTGAGGCTTGTGTGTGTATGATAATCAGATTTTGTAGCCTCCCTCTTTTTGGTTATTTTGTGCCTTCTTTTATATTGGTTCATGAGGAACCCTTTCTTTGCCTATTGGTAGTAAAAAAACATCCAAAGCTTTTGGCTTTCTGACTATCTTCTTAAAACTGCCCATCAATATTGATCTTTAATAGAGTGTAACTGAAACTGGGATATACCAATAGGCTATGATTTTTGGTATGCATCTTTTTTATTTGCCACTTTTTGAGTTCTGTAACTCACAGCTACTCCTTTTGGGTTTATTGGAATGTGCAGGTGAAAGAGAATAGGTTATGTCTGCTGATCCCATGAGTGTTTATTACATGATTGATTGGGAATAATTGTCACTTATGCTGAATATGTAACCGAAACAATATTGCACTTTTTTATTGCCATGTTTGCTTATGCATAATTAATAGTTATTTCTTCCTTGGTGGACTTGATACAGTTATGGGTTTAAATGAGTTATAAAGATGGAAAACAAGGATTATTTTACACAAAGGTGGCATTTATTCCATAAAATCAAACTTGACTTAGGCCTTTGTGAAACACCACCACACATATTGTCCTTAGCATTATTCATTCAAAAAAAAAAGGTTACAGGTGGCTTGTAAGTACCTCAATGCAAAACGAGTGATCACACCATGATTTATGCCTAGCATGGGATAATCTAATCATATACAAGTTTAGAAAAAGAAATTAACCCTTAAGAAGCATACACCATGTAGATTATTATGATTTTCTTCAAATTCAAAAAATGCAAAATGTGTCCTTTTGTGCTTTGAAATTTTTATATTTTTATTTTGTAAATAGGCCGGACAAAATTGGGTGTTCACACAGAGCAAATACAATAGCGGAATCAGCTCATCCCTCTCATTTCTCACCACTATAATTCTTGTCTTTTTAGGAACTACATGATCTAGGCTCACCCAATGGCTATCAGAAATGGGATATATAATCCCAGCTTCTAGAAGCTTGGTGACCTCTTTTTTCACAACATCAAGAATCACCTAATTGAGTCTCCGTTGTGGTTGCCTCACTGGTTTAGCTCCATTATCCCTTGTATCGCAACATTTCACTAGGATCTGATTCAAAATCAGCCTCCTTCCCACTAGCCATCAAATCGTGTTTGACTTTCAACTCAGAAATGGGATATATAATCCCAGCTTCTAGAAGCTTGGTGACCTCTTTTTTCACAACATCAAGAATCACCTAATTGAGTCTCCGTTGTGGTTGCCTCACTGGTTTAGCTCCATTATCCCTTGTATCGCAACATTTCACTAGGATCTGATTCAAAATCAGCCTCCTTCCCACTAGCCATCAAATCGTGTTTGACTTTCAACTCATTATCCTCAACCTGCCTCATTCTAATATGGTCAAACAATTCATTGGTGACCTTAAGCATTCCCAATATCATGCTATGGGGTCCCACTTGAACTGCCAAGTTCATATCCCTGAACTCATCAATTAGTTTTTCTTCACAAACCATCATAGCCGACATATGTAAGGACTTCCGACTTAAAGCATCGGCTACCACATTGGCCTTTCCCAAATGATACTGCAATCCAAAATCATAGTCCTTAAGGAACTCCATCCACCTCCTTTGTCTCGTGTTTAGTTCCTTTTGATCAAATAGATATTTCAAACTCTTGTGATCACTACACACCTCAAATCTTACGCCATAAAGATGGTGTCTCTAGATTTTCAATGCAAAGACCACCACGGCTAGTTCCAAATCATGTGTAGGGTGGTTTTGCTTATGCATTCTTAAATGCCGTGAAGCATAGGCAACAACCTTCCCGTCTTGCATCAAAACACAACCTAAACCTTGCTTAGAAGCATCACAATACACACTGAAATCTCAATCAGTACAAGGAAGAACCAACACTGGTGCCGTTGTCAACCTCCGTTTCATCTCTTGAAAACTCTCTTCACAACGGATTGTCCACACATACGGTTACCCTTTTATGGTAAGCTTAGTCAGAGGTAATGCCAACTTTGAAAACCCCTCTATAAACTTCCTGTAATAACCAGCCAAACCCAGAAAACTTCTTATCTCAGTAATTGACTTGGGCACTGCCCATTCCATCACAGCCTCGACCTTAGAAGAGTCTACTGCCACTCCTTCCTGGGATATCACATGTCCAAGGAAGTTCACTGATTCCAACCAGAAATCACATTTAGACAACTTCGCATACAACTGATTGCTCCTCAGAAGATCCAGAACCACCCTCAGATGCTTCGCATGTTCTTCTCGACCCTTGGAGTAAACCAGAATGTCATCAATAAATACCATTACAAATTAATTCAAATATGAATGGAAAATCTGATTCATGTAGTCGGTAAATATTGCTGGAGCATTCGTCACACCAAAAGGCATCACCAAATACTCTAAATGCCCATACCTCGTCCTAAAAGCAATTTTAGGAATATCCTCCGACTTCACTCGAAGTTGGTGGTAACCTGACCGGAGGTCAATCTTTGAAAACACCACTGCTCCTCTCAACTGATCCATCAAGTCATCAATCCTAGGCAATGGATACTTGTTCTTCATGGTGACCTTGTTCAACTGTCTATAATCGGTGCACAACCTCATACTCCCATCATTCTTCTTAACCAATAAGACAGGTGCACCCCACGGTGAGACACTAGGACGTATAAATTTCTTTGCCAACAAGTCTTCAACCTGCTTTTTCAACTCAGCCAACTCTAACAGTGTCATCCTATAAGGAGCTATAGAGATGGGTCCCGTTCCCGGTACTAAATGAATGGAGAATTCAACTTCTCTGACTAGAGGTAATTTCGGAATATCACTAGGAAACACCTCAGGAAACTCACGAACTATCGGAATATCCTCAACTCTGGGTTTCTCAATACCCTCCAGGGATACCATCAAAACAAACACGGCTCCTCCCTCCTTAAAGGAATTTCTGACTCCCTTAGACGACAACGGCTTCACATAACAAGCCTCATCATAAATATCACCCAGATCTCCAAACACAACGGTCTTATCAGCACAATTAAGCATCACCTGATTTGCTGATAACCAGTCCATTCCCAGAATTAGATCTAACTGGGACAGTGGTAAGCAGATTAAATCCACGGTAAATGTCCTACCGTTTACCACTACCGGACATCGGGACACAATCGTCGACACTACCACAGGCACACTAGTTAGGGTGGATACGACCAAGTCGTAAGGCAACGACTCCGTGTGTAATTTCAGGCGATTCACACATTCAATAGATAAAAAGGAGTGTGTCGCTCCCGAATCAAACAACACTAAAAGAGGAATACCTTCCACCATGCAATTACCTTGGCTAAGGCCATCCACATTTTCTGCCTCCGCACCGCTCATGGTAAACACTCTGCCCGTGCTCCTTGCTCTCTCAGCATGGATGACATTCATTCGCCGACCTAGTTGGGACAAAACCTTTTGATGTGCCCCAGCTCCTTGCAGTGAAAACATTTATTTTCCGACCTCGGGCATGTGCTCCCATAATAGAGTCTGCCACACTTGTCACACAAAGGAGTAGAAACTCCGCCGGTAGGAACGGTAGGTGGCCTTGCCCTTGATTATTACGGCCACGATATCCAGTAGGTGCCACATACGGTTTTCGGTCCCTCTCAAACATTCTCCCCTTACCCTTGCCTTGGGTATGATTCCTTTGAGGGTTGAAGTTTCTCGGAGGATCAACTCTATGTGTCATTATCTCATCCTCTGCAAGTCATCTTCATACATCCTACACTTGTTAACTAAGGTTGGAAAATCAGCAATTTCTTGATGTCCAAACATCATCTTCAACTTGAGTTTCAAACCCGATTCAAACTTCGAACACTTGGACCTTCCGTCCATTTCCAATTTAGAGTATGGGCAAAATCGGGTCAATTTCTCAAACTTGGCCACATATTCTCACACCGACATGTTACCCTACTCCAACCTCAGAAATTCCATTTCTTTCTTCTTTTTCAGATCAGTAGGAAAATATTTCTGAATGAATTTCTCCTTGAAGGTACTCCAGACAATCACCTGTCCCTCCATTTACATTTGGCGCCGGGTCATCTTCCACTAGTTTTCAGCTTCATTTGTAAGCTTGTAGGAAGCATAGGTTACCTTTTGAACATCGCCGCAACCACTGGCTCGGAATATCCTCTCCAAGCCTTGAATTCATTCATTCGCAGCATCCGGAGCGAATCCCCATTGGAACTGTTTAGGCCTCTGTTTACAGAAATCGCCTAATCATCGGTACTCGGCCAATTCTGCTAGAAATCGCCTAGGCCTTTGTTTATATATTCTATAGCATGCATATTCATTCATTCCATGTTAAGGGAAATGACATTGTTTTGGATATGAAAACCTTTAGTTCTATTTGCTATGATATACCGATGATAAGCGACATTACTGGGTTCGGCCTGGTATGTGAATGGGATGATTACGATCACAAGAAATTATATCTTTCTATTTGTAGAATTTCTAAGGAGGAAATAGAAAGGCGTAAGCAACAAAGCCTTGGCGAGATTGTTAAGAACAGGGATATCCTCTCTGCTGGATATCTCACGCTGGAAGATCGTTTGATACATTATTTTATTTCCTATGTCATTTTGCCAAAATTTTCAAACCAGTCGCAAATAAGTGACATAGAGCTCCAATTGATGTATGCTATCAAGTTTAACATCAAAATTAATTGGACTAAGATGATAATGAATCAAATGTGGCATGTTCGCGTCTCCCAAAGTCTGTTGCCCTACGCTATCTTCATTACCAATATTCTTGAGCATTTCAGCGTACCTTTAGAAGGTAAGACCCAATATTGTTAAAGAGCAGTGAGAGAAGAGTGCATTTTCAAGAGCAAGGAGGCTTGTGAGTCATTTAGAAACTTGAGAATAGGTCAAGCTCTTGATTCTAACTCTCTTCTTCCCTTTGAAAACTTGTTTTGGGTATGTTGGATCTCTTCTCAAAATGAGGGAAACCATTGAAACTCATCCTTTCGAGTTATGGTTCGTTTTATGTTGTTTTTATCTTGAAAACTCTTGGTTTAGAGTTAATATTTCAACAATAGAAAGGGTTTGTGGGTTGATTCATGAAAACCCCAAAACCCTAAAGTGAAAATGTGGTTAAAGTGGAAAATGGGTAAAATGCTAGAGGTAGAAGATGATTAAACCTTCCAATGTTGAAATATGAGATGGATATGTATGTTTTAGATGTTCGTAAACGTATGATAAAAGTAGTTTATAAACATTGAAAATATGATGAATATCTTGTATGGTTGAGTAATGCAATATAAATTGTTTATGTGATATTTGGAAATAAATGTCTGACATTATTGTTATGTGATGGGGATAATGAAAGATCATAAGGTTGGAGGAAGTAGCGAAGGAACTTGCAAAGTTACCCAAAACCAACCCTGACACGTACCAAGGTAAGGAGAAGTTATTAATGGTATATGATAATAGAAAATGTGTGGATTTTTTGATTATGTATATGATCTGTATATG